AAGAGCGGTGCTGTTTGTGCCATACTCTTAATTGCTGAATGCACCGTGACCTTTCAAATGAGGCCCCACATTTAATCATGATTCTCTTCTAGTGCAACCGTTGGTGAACCCATCTGTTTCTCCATCTGCTGCAGGGGGATGAGGGTGCCAGTTCCCCCCATGATATTGCAAACATCCCACCTGCGGGGAAGGAGGTTTCTCTGAAACAAAACCGCAGCCAGGTACGAAACAGCAACGATTGTCCCCAAGGTGAGAAGCATGGTGAATATTTTAAAGGGGAAGAGCTGGCTGTAGGTCCCGTTCACCAGGGAACAGGCTGGGTAACAGATGACGGGGGGGATGCTCAGGGCAGGCTCCCCCGCCAGCAGCCTCAGGAGGAGCCCAACCAAGAAGCCGGCAGCCGAGCCGGAGGTGTTGGTGCTGGGAACGAAAAGGGCGCAGCAGAGCTGCGGGAAGAGCAGGGCATACACCAGCTCCCCGCTGAGGAACCAGAGGTCATAGATAGAGCTGGAGTAAAAAGCCAGACCAGCAGCCCCGGCCCCAAACACCAGCATGGAGGTCCTCATGGCCCATAAGACCTCCATCTCCGTAGCCTGTAAAACAGAGATTGTAACATTACAGACACGGCGTTTACTGGCGGGGTGACCAGCTCTGCCCTGCCCTGGGCTGGTTCTCACCAAGCCCTCACTGCTTTCAGGCAGTGCTTGCCACCAGCAGCCACCCAAGGCAGGCACTCCTAGAGATGGAGCTGCCCTCTGTAGTTTTAAGGGTCATGGTTTTATGCTGTTTCCATTAATATCCTAGTCCAAATTTTATACCAGTCATCTTATAAAGAGCAAAGCTCACCAGTGTGGGTATTTGTATCCCCACCAAGGATATGAACACCCCTGACCTATGTTTGAAGCGCTAGCTCCAGAACTCAGTTCAGCAGCTGAAGGACAGACCTCTAATCGCAGACTACACAGACTGGATTTGAAACGGTCTTGAAACAAAAGCATCTTTCCTGACACCAAAACTATTGAATGCTGTAACCAAGTACCTTTTTCCTCAGGATTTTTCTGTAGATGTTGTGAGCGAACATGGAGCCAGCAGAGAGAAGAGCTGAATCTGCAGAGGACATTGTGGCAGCAGCAATGGCTCCCAAACCAGCAATGGAGATGTATGCTGGGCAGAGATAGTGTAAAACAAGTGGCAGTATCATTGCCGATTCCCCTCTCTCGAATGGACTTGGAAGACCATAGCTTGTCTGGTTCCAGTCTTTAAAACAGAACAAAGAAAAGTCACAACAAATCCTTCATTGACATTTCTGCTGTCTTTGAAGCTGCCTTTCCACAGGAACAAGTCACAACAGGGTTGAGACCCACTCGGTATTTTAGCACTTGGATTAATTTTTTGCATTCTCTTATGGTCTCTTGTGATTCCCCTTAGCATGCTGCAGCTCTCACTAGATCAAAGATTTTCCTTTTCTACAGTAGCTTCTATAGAAATAGCTGTGCTTCGTATGTTTCCAGAACTGGGACAGTTAAAGGTCAACATTCTAGACCCCGCTTGTGAGGAGAAGGGAGTTTTGTTCTGATGCCCCTCGTGACAGATGAATTAGAGTTCAACTGATTTCTTTAAATGTTCAGTGATCTGGCTGCTCTTTAACACTTGCTCACAGCCAATACAGGACTGATCCCCTGCGTGGGGGCTGTGAGTTTACAGGACTGAACTTCTTGATTCCTTCAAGCAGGTTTTCTTCAGAACCTTATTAACAATCTGTAGGAATATTGCTGGGCCTTACATGCAGAAAGCATTAACAGAAGCAAGCATAAGATTTCTTGGAAAATAGGATTATCCAGGGTTTTAAGGGGTCTGCCTTAATCTTTCCTCAACACAACGTCCATGAAAAGCCATTTCATCGTAATGAAATGGCTTTAAACACGTCTTGGGGCTGTTTAAATGTCACTAGGTAGTTGTACACTGAACCTCGGAGGGCTCCACATTTCTGGTACAGACCACCTAGCTTGGTGGCCAGGGCTATGCTTTTAGGTACACACGATTAGGTTATTTGAAGTCTAAATCAGGACTTCTTTGGATCCTGTTTTAATCACCTTTGACAAAAACATGTTCATTATTCAGAGACAATTAGTTTTACCTGTTGATGCTGCAACTGCACCAATGAGCACAGAGGGGATAGCCATTGAAAAGCACCCAAGTCCAGAGAGGTAGGAGATGAGCCTTGCCTGTCCTGGCGAGGCAGCGGAGAGCACTCTTTGGAAGTAAGTTTGCCAAGGGATGCTCCCAAGCACCTGAAACATTCAGATGTTACCAGTGGTACCCACCAGGCTGCTCCCTGCTGTAGGGCATCATCTATCCATTCAGGTGGATGATAATCATCTTTACTGTTATAAAACTCTCATTTCAGATGCATAAACATTGCCCAGCTTTAACTATTGAGGATGATATTTCTGATGGTTGAGGGTGTCCTTTTCCTTTGTTTTCATTGTGATGGATGTGAAATTTTGATCAAAACAGGTTAATGGTTTGGCAGACTGAGAAAGCTGAAAAATAGGTTGCTTGGCATAGCGAAACAGGCACAGAGGAAGGAAAAGAGAAGACAAGTTTTTCAGGAATGCAACTTTTGTAAAAAATCTACCCAAACTTAGCTAGAGTATAATCTAAAATTAAACATAAAATCACCATTTTCACTTTCTTAGCAGACAAAATTTATCAGATAAAATCTGAAGATTCTGTCCTCACCAAACAAGCTCAAGCTTTGATGTGTCCCTATTACCAGTCTAGCAAGAGCGTAATAACCTCCTGTAGTCTTGGCTATGTTGGTAGCTCAAAATTTGAGTTGTGCAGTGGAGCCAATGGCACCATGCTTGCTGATGACCTGCAGT